GGCCGCGCGGCGACTCTAGACACAGCAGGGACAACACCAGCGCCAACACCACCGCCAGCTGCAGGACCTCCAGTAGGACCAGCAGCACCCGCAGCAGGACCAGAGCCAGCAGCACCTCCAGCAGCACCAGCAGCACCCCCAGCAGAACCGTCTCCTGGACTGACAGCAGTAGCCTCAGCGCCAACACCCTCAGCAGCTCCAGCTCCAGGCGAACCCGCAGGCCCAGCAGCTCCAGTACTCGCGGCACGAGCACCTCCGGGACCGGCAGCACCAGCACCCTCAGCAGCCGAAGAAGCTCCAGCAGTACGTCTCCAGCGCCGGGCAAACCACTCGCGCAGCTCCTGTGGAGAGAGTGGCTCCCGCCGAGGCGAAGCACCCGGAGAACCTCTAGGCCCAGCACCGCCAAACGCCACACGAGCAGGCCCAGCAGCCGCCGGCTCCGCATCCCCAGGCTCAGCAGCTCCAGACGTGGCACCCCCAGGCTTAGCATCTCCAGACGTAGGACCTCCAGGCTGAGTACCCCCAGGCGTAGCACCCCTAGGCTCAGCACCCCCAGGCGTAGCACCCCCAGGCTCAGCACCCCCAGGCGCAGCACCCCCAGCAGTACCACCCGAAGGCCCAGCACCCCCAGGCGTAGTACCCACCCGCGCAGCACCCCCAGAGTCACCAGTAACCTCGACTGGCTCGACCGCGTCTACCTGGGACACACCTGAAGGGGCAAGACCCTGAGGGGGGAGGGGGTCTACCGGGGGGGGACCTTGCACAAGGAAGATCGGTGGCGGGGGGAGGGAAGGAGTGCGGTAGGGGAAGAGGCGGTAGTAGGGGACCGACTCGTCAAACGTGACGTCCCGAGAGGACAACACGACGAGAGGTGGGGTGGTAGAACTGCCACCCTGGCGCGTCAGGGGGGAAGCCAAGGAAGACACAAGGAGCAGCACAAGGGGACAGCTTGTCCGCAGACAAGTCGCGGACAAACGCCCGAGATCCCCAGACACGGAACTTAGACGCATCGCCTACCTTCCCCGTCCACAGCAAAGCTGGGGAGGTCTCCGGCCTAGAGACCCTAGGGAGAAGGTTGAGCTGATGCGCCGCGTACCGAACCGCAAACGGCCACAGAAAATGGGGGGCAGCCGCATGCATCATGGACGTACGAGCGACGTCCATGACCATGCCAATGCGGCGCTCAGCAATCCCATTTTGCTGTGGAGAGTCAGGAAGCGTAAACGTCTGGCGGACGCCTCGCGCACGGCAGTAGGCTCGCAGAAGGCCAGAGGAGAACTCTCCGCCTCTGTGAGAGTGCAGACGCAGAACAGGAAAGTCCGAGCCGAAGCTCCTCCTGAGCTGGAGACGAGCTGCGCGGATCCAGTCGATCAACACCTCAGTGACATTGCCCTTGCTGCGCAAGGGGAAGACTGTGGTGTAACGCGAGTAGTCGTCAACCACCAGCAGAAAGTAGCGCTCGTGACCCTGTCCACGGACGCGGGCTGGGCCCCACACGTCCATGTGAAGCGTCTGCAGCGGGGCCTCTGTCGGGGGAAACGGAGAGGAGTGAGGAGCAGCCCGTAGCCGCCCCTCGACACAGGGGACACAAGAAGGACCAGGCCCCGAAGGAAGGGGAGGGAGGGACCGGGGAAGACCAGAGACAAGGACACGGGAAGCCATGCCTCAGAGACGAGGCAGGGAGGGGTGACCAAGACGGTGGTGCCACAAGAGAGTCTCGTGAGACAGGAGGCGACACGAGCAGGGGGCAGACTCAGGACCAGACCTGGACGCTGCAGCAAACACCTGACCCGACGCAGCTACCTGACCAGACGCAGGGACAGGAGGAGACTCAGTGGTCAGGGTGTAGAGGCTCGACCCCGGCCGACGCGTAAACGTGGCCAGGTGCTGGCCTGTGCGAGCGTCCGAGCAGTGGGTCACCCGCTAACTCGCAGGAGTAAACTGGTGAACCCCCGTATCCTGCAGGTCAGCACTACTCACAAAGTTCGTAGAGAATGAGGGGAGGTAAAGACCAGACAAGGTGCCAGAGGGGGCAGTCGGACACGGGAGGACAGTGGAGAAGTGAGAGAGGACAGGACCCCCAGAGGGGTCTGCCAGGGAGACTGCAACCGGCCGACCAAGCGGTGTGAGTGTGGTGCGGTCTCGAAAGAAGGAGCGAGAAGCCCCTGAGTCAAGTGTGAAGGTGAGGGAGGCCGAAGTCGACGCGGTACCTGAGAGCGCAGACTCACCAGTACCTGAGGACGCAGACGCACTGGCACCTAGAGCAACAGTCGCACTAGCACCTAGAGCAGCAGCCTCACCAGTACCTAGAGCAGTAGTCTCAATGCCCGGATCGGGCAGGAAACATCGGTAACAGTCACCCTCGTCACTATAAGTCATAGCATACATGGCAGCAAGAATAGCATCAAAGTCAAGATCAAAGATAACTACACCTGCCCTAGACAGCTCTCCCCAGCGGGGGATCTCAGCGGCCTCCGGGAACTGGTGACGCCAAGCGTCCGTCAGGCGGCCAAAGTAGGGCTGGGTGGAGTGGGCACCCCCACACTGCTCACCCGCGCGGTCGCCGGTGCGAAGGACGTAGGTGCACGGACCAAAACCCCCACCACGCTGACGCGCAGCGTACCACTCACGGAGCTGCTGAGGGGGGGGGATGTCCCGAGAACGCTGCTGCTGCTGCTGCTGGCGCTGACCACCACCGGAGCCGCTCCGCTGCGAAGCGCCACCCCATCACCATGCCCGATCACCATGCCCCATCACCATGCCCCATCACCATCCCCCATCACCATGCCCCATCACCATGCTCCATCACCATGCCTCATCACCATGCCCCATCACCATGCTCCATCACCATGCCCTATCACCATGCCCCATCACCATGCCCCATCACCATGCCCCATCACCATGCCCCATCACCATGCCCCATCACCATGCCCCATCACCATGCCCCATCACCATGCCTTTGGCCGGTTAGCCTTTGGCCGGTTAGCCTTTGGCCGGTTAGCCTTTGGAAGGTTAGCCTTTGGCCGGTTAGCCTTTGGCCGGTTAGCCTTTGGCCGGTTAGCCTTTGGCCGGCTAGCCTTTGGCCAGTTAGCCTTTGGCCGGTTAGCCTTTGGCCGGTTAGCCTTCGGCCGGTTAGCCTTTGGCCGGTTAGCCTTTGGCCGGTTAGCCTTTGGCTGGTTAGGGGTGTTGGTGGACAGTTATGGCTTTCTCCTGGTGCTACCTTGCTATGATGAGTGCACGCTTTTCTAGTTCAGTGCTTTCTGTTTGGCTATCAACTGTGGTTATATCACTTGGTAACCTCATATGGTAACCTCAAATGGTAAGCGGAGATGGTAACCTCAAATGGTAACCATAAATGGTAACCTCAAATGGTAATCTCACATGGTAACCTGAAATGGTAACCTTATATGGTAACCTCAAATGGTAACTTTATATGGCAACCTCAAATGGTAACCTCATATGGTAACCTCAAATGGTAACATCATATGGTAACCTCAAATGGTAACCCCACATGGTAAAATTGCATGGTAACCTCCCGCCCTGTTGGCTTCCAGCTGGCTGCCCTGCCACATTGCCGTCACCCTCTCCAAGTCTCTTCCCGTTCATTCCTCTCAGGCCTTGACCTGCCCGTGCTGCCGCACGAATGCTGTAGCCATTCTTGGCAAAATTGGGGGCTGTGCCTGCTGCACTGCCCGTCTCCTCATCTCTTGCTTTCACTACATTGCCCCGACTTAGGGGTTGGCTGGTGGAGGCACAACTGGGAAGGCAGCTTTTGCAAGAAGGGCAAGCGGAGTGGCGGAGAGAGCTGTAGCAGGAGGGGCAGGCGGAGCGTGCTTTCATTGGCCTGACTCCCACCTTCTTTCTGCCTACCATATGTCATGTCTCTTTCTTGTCTCTTGTATGTCCCTTTCACAAGGCGCGCTGCCTGGTGAGGACCGATCTGACAGAGGCAGTTATGGCCGGAGGGGGCGTGGCAGGAGGCAGAAGGTAATGGAGAGAGGGGATGGGCATGAGGGAGGGGGAAGAGAAGGCACACGTTTGTGTCAGAGGTCCACTTGTGATCCCCGATTGATCCTAGGAAAGGGTTACAGGCACGTTGACTTGGGGGGTTGTGGGCGCACTTACCCGCTACACAAACAAGCCCTTTTATCCCAATGGTCTAGTGGTTGGGATTCTGACATGGTATCAGAGCGAAGGTCTCGGGTTCGAATCCTGGTGTGTGCACCTCGGGCATCCCAGTGCGGGGGGGTGTCAGAGGTCTACTGGTGATCCCCGATTGATCCTAGGAAAGGGTTACAGGCACGTTGGCCTGGGGGGTTGTGGACGCACTTACCCGCTATACAAACAAGCCTTTTTATCCCAATGGTCTAGAGATTGGGATTCTGACAGTTTGCAGGGGTTGACTGGAGAGTGATGGGGCACAGAGTGTTCTTTATAGGACCAAACTCGCTGCAGGAAAATACGGGGTAATTTGGCAGAGTATTACCAAGGAAATAATCCAGGCAATTTGGGCAGTTATGTTTTGTTGTGTGCTCCTCTCTTAATATAATGTAAAGTAATTTATCTATAATATCTTTAGATTTCGTAATTTTACTGCAATACCTAGGCTCGTATGCGGTGTACTGTCGATTTGTTGACGTAGCATTTGCTGAAAAAAAAAAACATTACTGGTATTCACAAAACGATATGGTAGAGAAATATAATTTATTCTGCTAAGTTATTGTGAAGAAATATAATTTCTACAGTGAGCTTACACAAAAATGAATGGTTCGAGGAGTTCGCGTCAGCTGGTTCGGCCTACATCTGCGTCCCGAACCACTTCCGAGCCGCCCCGCACCTTTCACCAAAACCCGAGCCTCGTTCCGCGATTCTCGCCTAGCTCGGCTCTGCCTATTTACCCCTCGTTTTTTAAACTCGAAGGGCATTCAGTTAGTAGTTTCCTAGCTTGTAAGAAACTCGCACTGATAACAGTTCGATATTTCGAATTGGCCTAAATTGCGTCACGCCACCGCTTGGCAAACATTGGCTAGGGTCAGTAGGAGGTGTGCACAGGACCCGCGGTCAGGATCAGTAAATGAGAGCTGGTAAGGCAACAGTGGGACGTCTGATAGTGACTCGATAGCGGTAGCGTCGAAGCGACACACAGGGCGACGAGAGAGCGGCGGACGGCGACGAAACCGCGAGTGGTCAACGGCGAAAATGGAAGAGTAGGCGACGAGAGCGAGAAGAGCCGATTCGCGATGGCGGAGAGCTGCGACAGCAGAAGCGCGAGGAGCAGCAGCAATGGGGGGATAGGGCAAACACGGGCGCGCAGGCAGGGCTCCCGCCGGCGGCGACTGCCGAAGCAGCGGCGGGCGGCGGCGGCGCGATGAGGCGGTGGAATCCAGCGCCCGTCGCGCTCCGCCTGGACCACTTACTCGCCGCCCGCTGCGCACACGCACGCCTCTACCGCCGCCTCCGCGAGAGTCCACGCCAGTGCGCACCAGTGCAGGGATAGCGCATATGGGGGCAGCGGTGACGAGCGGCCGCGCGGGGCGGGAAGGGGAGGCGGAGCGGAGGGAGGCGGAGCGGAGGGAGGCGGAGCGGAGGGAGGCGGAGCGGAGGGAGGCGGAGCGGAGGGAGGCGGAGCGGGGGAGGGGAGGCGCAGGGAGGGGAGGGGGAAGGGGGGATGTGGGCGCGTGTGGTTTGGGTGTGGAGGAAATGGAGCGAGGGGACAGAGGGGAGGGACAGCTCAGGGAGGCGAGTGGGGTGCGTAAGGTTAGGGGAGGGCGGGACGGAGGACAGGCATGGGAGGGGCACGGCATGGGTGGAGCATGAGAGGCGTGAAGGGGGGTGCGCTGGCACAGCGGTGGGAGTGGGAGAGTCAAGAGTAGGGTCAGGAGGGGAAGAGGGGAAGGTAAGGTTAGGGGAGGGCAGGTGAATGAGGGGCAGGTGGATGGGAGGCGGGTGGGGAGGCGAAAGCGAGGGAGGAGAAAGGGAGGAGCGAAGGGAGGGGAGGGGAAGGGAGGGGAGCAGAAGGAAGGGGAGGAGAAGTGTGGGGAAGAGAAGGGAGGGGAAGAGAAGCAAAGCCAAAAAGGCAAACTCAGCTGACCACCGGCGTGGATGCATGCAGCTGGTGGGGCGAGGAGCATTGGAGTCGACTTAAGAGTTTCCCTCCAGGTGAGCCCCCCTCCAGGTGAGCCCCCCTCCAGGTGAGCCCCCCTCCAGGTGAGCCCCCCTCCAGGTGAGCCTCCCTCCAGGTGAGCCCCCCTCCAGGTGAGCCCCCCTCCAGGTGAGCCCCCCTCCAGGTGAGCCCCCCTCCAGGTGAGCCCCCCTCCAGGTGAGCCCCCCTCCAGGTGAGCCCCCCTCCAGGTGAGCCCCCCACCAGGTGAGCCCCCCACCAGGTGAGCCCCCCTCCAGGTGAGCCCCCCTCCAGGTGAGCCCCCCTCCAGGTGAGCCCCCCTCCAGGTGAGCCCCCCTCCAGGTGAGCCCCCCTCCAGGTGAGCCCCCCTCCAGGTGAGCCCCCCTCCAGGTGAGCCCCCCTCCAGGTGAGCCCCCCTCCAGGTGAGCCCCCCTCCAGGTGAGCCCCCCTCCAGGTGAGCCCCCCTCCAGGTGAGTCGCTGTCACAACGCGTCCAGCAGGATCGAACCACCCAAGGGCCTTTCCAACAGAACCTGCTCAAGGCGAGTCCCTTTTCCAGCTTTCTGAAAAGGCCCTCAAGGCTAGCCCTGGCGGTGCAATTGCAATGCAACCACCCTGCACTGCAGTAACTGCCACACTGCGGTTGGGGCAGAAGGCGTGCCTCCTCCCCTCTCCCCATGCCCCCTCCCCTTCCACGTCCCCCTTCCCCTCCCCCTCACCCCCACTCCCCCCTCCACATCACCATCCATTCCCATCCGCCTTTGGCCGCCAACACATGGCTGGGAACAGAGAGCGATGGGGCGGCAGGACGGCAGGCAGTGCAATGCAAGGCTGAAGGAGATCCTCCCATTTTCCTCCCTCCCCCCCCCTCCACGCACAGGGAGCGATGAGGCGCCGTGTGCTTGCAGGGCTGGAGGAGAATACAAGCTTTCTGCAGTTCGAGGAGGTCCCCTTCCCCGCCACAGCCCCCCCTCCCCTTTCTTCCCCACTCCGTCCTTCCCCACGCACAGGGAGCAATGAGGTGCCGTTTGCTAGTGGGGCTGAAGGGGGTGGGGCGGGCGGTGTGGGGCTGAAGGGGGTGGGGCGGGCGGTGTGGGGCTGAAGGGGGTGGGGCGGGCGGTGTGGGGCTGAAGGGGGTGGGGCGGGCGGTGTGGGGCTGAAGGGGGTGGGGCGGGCGGTGTGGGGCTGAAGGGGGTGGGGCGGGCGGTGTGGGGCTGAAGGGGGTCAATCCTCTCCCCTTCCCCAACCCCCAACCCCCTCTCACTTAAACCATCCATGCACAGGAAGCAATGAAGTGCCGCGTGCTAGCAGGGCTGAAGGAGGTGGGGCAGGCAGTGCAAGGCTGAAGGAGATCCCTCCTGCCTTATTCTTCATAGCCCCCTCACATGCATGGGATGGGAGCAGGGAGCAATGAGGCGCCGTGTGTTGGCTGTGCTGAAGCGGATGGGAAGGGCTGTATGGGACTGAAAAGAACTCCCTCTTTCTCATCCCTCCCTCCTTCCCCGCGCCGCTCACAGGGAGCAATGCGGCACCGCGTGCTGGCAGGGCTGAAGGAGGTGGGGCAGGTGGTGCGCAGTGGGAGGGCCAAGTGTGTGGTGCTGGCGCCTAACGTGGAGGAGGTGAGTGGGGCCGGTGAGGAGAGGGGGATGAGGGGAGGGTGGTGAGGGGAGGTGAGGGTGGGGTAATGAGGGGTGGCACTGGAGATGCAGGTGTGTGGTGGTGGCAGCTGCTGTGGAGGAGGTGTGTGGGGCAGGTTGAGCGGGGGGAGATGCTGGTGGATGGCGCATGGTGGGGTGGGGTAGGGTACGCAGTGGAAAGGCCAAATGTACATTGCGCCCAGTGCTTGCACCCAACGGGGAGGGGAAAAGGCGCCTGGGGAGGGTGGGAAAGAGGAGGGTAAGGTATGGATGGCAGGTGAGAGGAAGGGTTAGAGTTGTTAAGTGCGTGGTGCTGCTGCTGGCTATCTGCATAGGAGGGTTGCCGTGGCCAGATGAGAGGAGGAGAGGGGGCTGGGTGTGGGCAGGAGGAAAGGAGGGTGGGGGTTCCACTTACCCCTCACAACCCCCCTCGCACCCCCGAGGATCACCTTGTTGTGGGCTGCTGCTGTCGGCAGGCTCTGGGACACATGGCACATGTGGTGAGTGTTATGCCCACTAACCATGCCCAGTTACCCATGCCCATTCACCCATGTCGCTTCACACATGCCCATTCACCCATGTCGCTTCACACATGCCCATTCACCCATGTCCCTTCACACATTCCCTTTCACCCATGTCCCTTCACACATTCCCTTTCACCCATGTCCCTTCACACATTCCCTTTCAACCATGTCGCTTCACACATGCCCATTCACCCATGTCGCTTCACACATGCCCATTCACCCATGTCCCTTCACACATTCCCTTTCACCCATGTCCCTTCACACATTCCCTTTCACCCATGTCCCTTCACACATTCCCTTTTACCCATGTCCCTTCACACATTCCCTTTCACCCATGTCCCTTCACACATTCCCTTTCACCCATGTCCCTTCACACATTCCCTTTCACCCATGTCCCTTCACACATTCCCTTTCACCCATGTCCCTTCACACATTCCCTTTCACCCATGTCCCTTCACACATTCCCTTTTACCCATGTCCCTTCACACATTCCCTTTTACCCATGTCCCTTCACACATTCCCTTTCACCCATGTCTCTTCACACATTCCCTTTCACCCATGTCCCTTCACACATTCCCTTTCACCCATGACCCTTCACACATTGTCAGAGCTTAAGATTCATTTATACGTCCGTTGTAGTCTAGTCGGTTAGGATACTCGGCTCTCACCCGAGAGACCCGGGTTCAAGTCCCGGCAACGGAATTGTTTTTGGCGGGTTTGGAAGTCACACTCCGGTAAGTGGTCACAGGAGACACAACCCAAAACATTGACAGTGTGTGTTGTGCACAATTGACCTCACAGGGTTCCTCTTGCCTCCTGCCGTCCAAACAAGGTGGTTTTGCAACTGAGAGGGAGCGATGAGGGAAGGAGTGTCTATTTGTTCCATAACTTCAACGGCTATGCCGTTCCCCAACTCTCACTGCCCTTGCTTCAGAAGCAAATAGTTTTTCTAGTCGACGCATGTATGGGCATACAAAAAGGACACAAACAACCTCTTCTTCCACCTTCCCATGCTGCCTCATGCTACTTCTCTTGCCCCTTACCCTTCCCGTCACCTGCCCCTTTCTGACTTCCCATGCTTCTCTGTCTTCTTCCTGTCCCCTTACCGTATTTGATGGCCCCTTTCACTCCGTTCCCTCCCGCCAACACCTTCAAAACCACTTGGCGTACAAGAAGGACCCGATCAACCTTCCGAGCTATGCCATGCTGCCTCTTGCTGTTTCTTTTGGTATCTTCCTTTCCCCTTGCCTTTCGGTCACATGCCCTTTGCTGTCCCTTCCGCCCCATCTTCCCCCACCCCCTTCAGAACCACAAGGCATACAAGAAAGAACTCAAAAACCTCTTTCTCGGCTATGCCATGCTGCTGCCTAAGGCTGACTCCTCTCTAGCCTCATTTCTTAAACCCTTTCTGTTCCCTTCCAGCCCATCCCCTCAACCTTTCCAACCCTTGCCCATCTCGCCCGTTCTCCCCTCCCCTCCCCCCTGTTTCAAAACCATTGGGTGTACAAGAAGGATTCCCGAAATCTGTTTCCCGGTTACACCATGCTGCACCTTGCTACTGCCTTTGCGCCCCGCCGCCCGCCTTGTGGGCGGAAGAGGAGGATGAGAGGGAGAGGTGGAGAGTGGGTTTGGGCGGCAGATCTTTTGGTCAGAGTATTCAGTACAGTGCTGTTGGCGATGCCGTAAGTGATGGTGGTTGGGACTGATACAAGAGGAAGAAACAAGATAACAGAAAGGGTAAGGGGAACGGAAGAGAGTTGCATGTGATGGTGGTTGGATGGAGTTGCCCCGGCCCCTCCGCCACCGCTGGGCAGAGTACTCGATCCACCCCAATCATCCCCCACCACCTCACTCTCCGCCTCTCCCACCACCATCTCACTCCCACTACCATCTCACTCCCACCACCATCTCACTCAAACTCCTCCCTCTAGGAAGCTAGGCTGCAGCAGTCAAATAAGGAGTCATGCCACAACGGAGAATTTCCAACAAGGCAGGCAGCTTGGGTTGTTTGTGTTACGGTTTGTGCCCCTTCACAAAATGTAAAGAAACCCAGTATTAATATCGTACATAACGTAGATGTATTGCACTAGCTAGGTTCGTTCGTATGCGTTGTAGCGCATGAATATTTTTTTCGCGATAGTTGAAATTGGCAATAGACCTTGTAGCGTTTGAAGAGAGATTTATTGGTTATATTTTATGATTCTACACAGAACCTGACTCATCTCAATTTCTATAAGGTAGTGTAATCTGTTTCTGTAGGAGTGTAATCTGTTTCTAAAGGATTGCTTCAGCGAGGGTATTCCGAGGCGCTCACGTCAGCTGGTTCAGCCTAAAAGTTCCCCCCGAACCACTTCCGAGCCGCCACCGTGCCTTTCGCCACACTTCCGAACCTTGCTACGCCGAGGTTCTCGCCTAGCTCGACTCCTAAATATATAATCTTGTTTTGAACATTCATTGGGTATTCAGTAGCGCTCTTCAGATTTCAAAATTTAGTACATGTCAGTACATTCTTGAAACATTCCCACTCATAACGAATCACTCCTTTGTGTCAGCCGAAATTGTGTCGGACCACCATTTGCGGGCCACTGGCTAGGCTGGAGTCATAGGGCAGGAGGACCCGTCGCTCGGTAGAGATCGCGTCGAAGCGACAGACAGGGTGACGAGAGCGCAACGGACGGCGACGAAACCGTGACAGACAGGGCGACGAAAATGCGACAGATAGAACGACAGTAGACGACGAAACAGGGACAGACAGAGCGACACTAGATGACAAGAGCAAGAAGAACGGCAGAGGGGCGAGGAGCAGCGGCAATGGCAGATGGGGGAAGCACGGGCGCGCAGGCGAGGCTTCCGGCGGCTGCAGTGGCGGAAACAGCACCGTCGCTGTGAGCACCACAGCGGCGGCGCCGGCACTGGCGCGAAGAGGCGGTGGAAGGCCGCGCCGGTCGCGCTCCGCCTTGACCACTTCCTCGCCGCCGCTACCGCCGCCATTCCTGCTGCACGCGCGCCTCTACCGCCGCCGCGGAGAGGGAAGGGGAGGCGGGACGGAGAGGGGAGTCGCAGGGAGGGGAGGGGAATAGGTGGATACTAGCGCGTGTGGTTTGGGTTCGGCGGAAATGATGCGAGGGGTGGGAGAACGGGGGGCAGGAGGGTGGAAGAGGGGAGAAGGCGCAGGCGGACGGGTGGGGACAGGTGGGGTCGGGCGGGAAAAGGGGGAAAACGGGGGAAAGGTGTAGGAGGGCGTGCGCGCGAGAGGGTGCGTGGAGACGCGCTGTGGAGGGGTGGGTGAAGGCAGCAACGTGGGAGAGAATTGGGTTGAGGCGGGGGAAGGAGAGGCGGACACCTAATTGGAAGCGAGCGAGCCGCTTGAAACGCATGGTGGTGCTGGCGACACAGGCGCGCGAGCGTGGGCGGCAGTGCGAGCGCGTAGGCAACAGCGCACGCGCAGGTGGCAGCATGCGCAGCAGCGCGAGTGCGGGGAGAGGGGGAGATGGGGGAGGGGTGGATGGGGGAGGAGGAGAGGGGGGATGGGGAGGCGGGGACCTCAGGGTGAACGACGCATGGGAGCAGGGAGCTGTGAGGCGGCGCATCCCCTGCATCCCCCTCTCCCTCCGCTTCACACATGGCCATTCACCCATGTCGCTTCACACATGACCATTCACCCATGTCGCTTCACACATGGCCATTCACCCATGTCGCTTCACACATGACCATTCACCCATGTCGCTTCACACATGGCCATTCACCCATGTCGCTTCACACATGGCCATTCACCCATGTCCCTTCACACATGCCCATTCACCCATATCCCTTCACATATTCCCCTTCACTCATGCCCATCACCATCTTCCGTCACCACCCACCACTGCACACCACCACCATGCAGGTATCTGCCTTCATGCGCCCATCCCCTTCCACGCCTTTTACCAGGTAAGCTGTGGGGGCGGTGTGTGCCTTTCCACCAGGTGGTTTCCAGGAAATTACCAGGTGGTTTCCACGAAATCACTAGGAGCTTATGAACAGGTGATTATCAGGTGGCTATGTGTGTTGAGCTATTGGGTGAGTTGTAGGGGGGTATGTGGGTGGTTTGCTGCACCTGAAGGCACTACTAGCCCCTGAAGGCACTACTAGCCCCTGAAGGCACTACTAGCCCCTGAAGGCACTACTAGCCCCTGAAGGCACTACTAGCCCCTGAAGGCACTACTAGCCCCTGAAGGCACTACTAGCCCCTGAAGGCACTACTAGCCCCTGAAGGCACTACTAGCCCCTGAAGGCACTACTAGCCCCTGAAGGCACTACTAGCCCCTGAAGGCACTACTAGCCCCTGAAGGCACTACTAGCCCCTGAAGGCACTACTAGCCCCTGAAGGCACTACTAGCCCCTGAAGGCACTACTAGCCCCTGAAGGCACTACTAGCCCCTGAAGGCACTACTAGCCCCTGAAGGCACTACTAGCCCCTGAAGGCACTACTAGCCCCTGTGCCTCATGTCTGCTGTTCCAATCTCATGTAGTTGGTTTGCTTTCTCTTCCACTTCACTTCTTTTGTCACTGCGTCACATCACCATTTCTCCGAGTATGCATTTTGATACGTAGGTGTAAAATCTTCTTGTCCCTCTTCCCACTTCCTTCTTTCTTCTCCTCTGGACAGTTCTTTCAGTGACTTCTCCATTGAAAGAATCATTCAGCACCAAATTCATGGTGAGGAGGAGATGGTGGGGGGGTGCCGTGAGCACGAGAGGGAGAGATGGGGTAGTGGAGCAAGCACGAGGTGGAGAGGGGGAGATGGTGGGGTAGTGGAGAAAGCACGAGGGGGAGAGGGGGAGATGGTGAGGTAGTGGAGAAAGCACGAGGGGGAGAGGGGGAGATGGTGGGGTAGTGGACAAAGCACTAGGGGGAGAGGGGGAGATGGTGGGGTAGTGGAGAAAGCACAAGGGAGAGAGGGGGAGATGGTGGGGTAGTGGAGCAAGCACGAGGGGGAGAGGGGGAGATGGTGGGGTAGTGGAGAAAGCACGAGGGGGAGAGGGGGAGATGGTGGGGTAGTGGAGAAAGCACGAGGGGGAGAGGGGGAGATGGTGGGGTAGTGGAGAAAGCACGAGGGGGAGAGGGGGAGATGGTGGGGTAGTGGAGAAAGCACGAGGGGGAGAGGGGGAGATGGTGGGGTAGTGGAGAAAGCACGAGGGGGAGAGGGGGAGATGGTAGGGTAGTGGAGAAAGCACGAGGGGGAGAGGGGGAGATGGTGGGGTAGTGGAGAAAGCACGAGGGGGAGAGGGTGGAGGCTAAAGCAAGAGGGGGGGAGATGGTGGAGGAGAACCATGAGTCAAACCGAGACAACTATAGCGAGTTTGTGGGTTGACATGGCAGTCCCCTGAGTGGCTTATCCATTGTCGACGTCTTCAGCACTGCCCTCCTGGTGAGGGAGTGGAGCGTGTGGGTGGCAGAAATGGGTGAGAAGGGAAAGAGGAAGGTGAAAAGAGGAGAGGAAGAGGGGTTGAAATTTAAATCGTGATAGTTGCTTGAGAGATACTTTCACATCCGTTGTAGTCTAGTCGGTCGGGATATTCGGCTCTCACCCGAGAGACCCGGGCTCAAGTCCTGGCAAAGGAATGGTTCAGTTTTGGTGGGTTTTGGACAACCCAAAACATTGACAGTGTGTGTTGTGCACAATTGACCTCACAGGGTTCCTCTTGCCTCTTGGTGTCCAAAGAAAGTGGTTTTGCAGCTGCGAGGGAGCGATGGGGAAAGGAGTGTCTTTTTGCTCCATAACTTCAATGGTATGCCATTCCCCAGCTCTCAATGTCCTTGCTCCAGAACCAAATATGTTTTCTAGTCAATGCATGTATGGGCATACAAGAGAGACACAAGCAACCTCTTCTTCCACCTTCTCATGTTGCCTCATGTTGTCTCATGCTGCCGCATGCTGCCTCATGCTGCTTCATGCTGCCTCATGCTGCCTCATGTTGCCTCATGCTGCCTCATGCTGCCTCATGCTGCTTCATGCTGCCTCATGCTGCCTCATGCTGCTTCATGCTGCCTCATGCTGCCTCATGCTGCTTCATGCTGCCTCATGCTGCCTCATGCTGCTTCTCTTGCCCCTTACCCTTCCCATCACCTGCCCCTTTCTCCCACCCCCTTGAGAACCTTTGAGCGTACAAGAAGGGCCAAGCGAGCAACTTCCTCCCTGCTGCTACCCTTGCTTCTTTCCTTTCTCGTTACCCTTCCTGTCCTGTGCCCCATTCTGCCCCACCTCCGCACACATCAGAACCACTAGGCGTACTTACTCCCAGCTTCCTTCTGCACCCTTTTCTTTCTATAACCTCTCACACGGCACTGGTCCGTCGCATTCTTTCCCCTATTTCCCACACCGATTCGGTTAGCAAAGTGGTCCGACGTGTTCTTCGTGTTTCGCGCACGCCCGTGGTGTCCGTCGTGTGACGCTGAGTCGACTCAAAAGTCAACGCACGCCCGTGGTGTCCGTCGTGTGACGCTGGCGAACGGGGTGGGTTGGGACCAACGTGCTCGGTGCGCGCTGCGCAAATTGAGCAGCTTCGCGCGACTCGATAAGGTAGTGGCATGTTTGACATTGCCGGCATCTCAGCATCTCGACTGCAATTCCTTCCTAGTGAACAGTGGTGGTGGTGGTGGTGGTGGGCCGACAGTCATGTCCGAATGGTGCGCCCTCTCCAGACTTCCCCTTGCCAAGACGGACTTGTGCACGTCATGGAACGCTCACTTGCTGATCGCACTTGCTCACCTCACTTGCTAATTGCACTTGCTCACCCTGTTGTTGTCACGCCCCTTCCCCTCTCCTCATCCCCCTTCTCCCCTCCTCATCCCCATAAGCCGTCCCCATTAACTTTCCCACGCACAGGGAGCGATGCGGCGGCGCGTGCTAACGGAGTTGAAGGAGGTGGGGCACGCGGTGCATTTTCGAGTCGACTCAAAAGTCACCTCGGAGTTGAAGGAGGTGGGGCACGCGGTGCATTTTCGAGTCGACTCAAAAGTCACCTCGGAGTTGAAGGAGGTGGGGCACGCGGTGCATTTTCGAGTCGACTCAAAAGTCACCTCGGAGTTGAAGGAGGTGGGGCACGCGGTGCATTTTCGAGTCGACTCAAAAGTCACCTCGGAGTTGAAGGAGGTGGGGCACGCGGTGCATTTTCGAGTCGACTCAAAAGTCACCTCGGAGTTGAAGGAGGTGGGGCACGCGGTGCATTTTCGAGTCGACTCAAAAGTCACCTCGGAGTTGAAGGAGGTGGGGCACGCGGTGCATTTTTTAGTCGACTCAAAAGTCACCTCGGAGTTGAAGGAGGTGGGGCACGCGGTGCATTTTTTAGTCGACTCAAAAGTCACCTCGGAGTTTGAAGGAGGTGGGGCACGCGGTGCATTTTTTAGTCGACTCAAAAGTCACCTCGGAGTTTGAAGGAGGTGGGGCATACGGTGCATTTTTTAGTCGACTCAAAAGTCACCTCGGAGTTGAAGGAGGTGGGGCACGCGGTGCATTTTTGAGTCGACTCAAAAGTCACCTCGGAGTTGAAGGAGGTTGGGCACGCGGTGCATGCTCAAAACGTTGGATATAAAGGGCGGGAGAATTTTGACACGTCTCAAAAGGGCAGGCCGTGTGCAGCTAGAAGGAATCCCCCCTCTCACCTCCTCCGCCCTCTCACCTCCTCCGCCCTCTCACATCCCCCACCCTCTCACCTCTCCCCACCCTCTCACATCCTCCGCCCTCTCACCTCCTCCGCCCTCTCACATCCCCCACCCTCTCACCTCTCCCCACCCTCTCACATCCCCCGCCCTCTCACCTCCTCCCCCCTCTCACCTCCTCCGCCCTCTCACATCCCCCGCCCTCTCCCCTCTCCCCGCTCTCACCTCGCCCTACCCTCTCTCCCCGTTTTTGGGCCCTCACAGCCCACTGCACCTGCCCCTGGGAGCTCCCCGAACACCCTGGCCAGAAACTGCCAGAGCGCACCGGCCAGCACCACCAGGGCACTTTGGCTCTCTCAACAGCTCCAGACAAGATTTTGTCAATCTCTCCCCCAACAGCCTTGTAGCAAGCGGCAAAACCCGAAAAAGTACAAGCAGCACACTTTGAATCCTGCATCTCAATCATCCCCACTCTTCTTCTCCATTCGCTTCCTCTTCCATGCCCCTCTTTATTCTCATGCCATTGCCAGTCCTTTAGTCCCCCCCCCTCTGCAAACACCCCCAAACTAGTTTCCAACCCCCTTTTTCTTGCTTCTCTTGCCCTTTTTCCATGTTTCCCATTCCCTGCATCTCTCACTGCCACCTTAGCAATTTCAGTAGGGCGGGCGTGGAGGGGCACTGCTACAGCAAGTCAGAGTTGGGTGAATGACTTGCTGGGACGGGTCAGACACCCAAGTCAGACACCTAGGGGAATGCACTTTGAGGAGGGGGGCTGGGTGTGGAGGAGAATTGTGTTTGTGGGGTTGGAGGGAGGACTTGGGGGAGAGGGAAAAGGGGGGCTGGTAGGGTAAGGAAGAGGCAGGCGTATCGTAAGGGGTTGGAGAGCATGTTAACAGTCGTCTCACATTGATGGCATGGCATGGAATGGGGTATGGTGGTGGCTTGAGCAGCACGTGCATGGCACGAATGGCAGTACTTAGCCCTGCAAAAGCTAAACTCAATCAGATTATGAGGGATTGCTGCACTTAGAAATCATATAAGAGAAGCCATGTTGTGCAATCTAGTTGGGGAAGATACAACTAAGGCGGCCTCCCATGCGCATCTGATTCCATACATCATCTCATCCCGTACATCATCCTACAGTGCACATCTCACGACACTGTCATTTTGGAACCAAACTTGCTTCCCTCGATGCACCACCCTTGCATATCTGAACCTACTTATGCATGCAAGTCACTCATTCCTGCCCTTCACCCATGCATGATCTTCACTCAACAGTATCCCCTCCAGGTCCGTTGGACACTATGAGCATGCCAAACAACTGGAGCATCTGAGTCAGCAGCTGAATTAAGCAGGGCAGGGGTTCGCGCATTAAGTGGGTAGAGTGGTGGTGGTGCAGTGTGAAGATGGAGCTGCAATATCCTTTGTCTGATCCTGCTTTACTCAATTCATAACTGCATTGTGGTGAGTGCTGGTGGCCGCAGAGGAGAGACGAGGAGGGCAACCTGCCGAGAGGAGCAGCACTGCAGCACACACTGAGATTTTCTCCCCTCACATGCAAGCCTTCATTGCCTGCATCCTCCCGCATGCCACTCAAATCAAGTCCATCTCTTTCATTGCATGGACACGATGAGCATCCCAACATCAGTACGCTTTGTCCGGTGTGGCCTTGCATGGACTGAGCTGCTGTGGCCTTGTCAGGCATGCCCCGCCCTGGTCTGCTGTGACCTGGTTTGGCCTTGTCTGGTATGGTCTGGTCTTGCCTGGCCTGGCCTGGTATGGTCTGGTATGGCCTGGCCTGGCCTGGCCTGGCCTGGTATAGTCTAGCCTGGACTGATCTGCCTTGGTCTGGCCTGCTATGGGGCCTGGCATGAGGGCCACAGGGTTTGCCTCGAGGGCTTAGGGTGTCCTACAACGACTCTGAGGGCCTTCTCCCACCACCAGGCAGGCTGGAGCCAACACTCGTTACAGTCAAATTGAGAGTCGTGCGGGGGAGAATTAGCAACAATAACCCAATGCGGGCATTTTGGGTTGTGTGCCCTATCGTCAATAAAACATTAGAAGTGGTACCATATGTGCATATTACGTAACACTAGCTAATTTCGTATGCGTGTGCATGAATTACTACCCACGATGGTTGAACTTCGCAAGCAAGCTTGTAGAATTTTCGGAGAAATCAATTTGGGCTATTTTTATAGAACTCAGTTTATTATGTTTCTCTTAGAATATATATTACTGTAGGCATCCTTTAGCTTGTATGTTCCGAGGAGCTCGCTTCAATTGGTTCCGCCTACAGTTTCGCCCCGAACCACTTACGAATCGCCCCCGAACCTTTCGTGACATCCCGAGCCTCTTCACCCCTGTTTCCTCGCCTAGCTGAATTCTGCCTATTTGACCCTTTTTAGGACGCGTTACCTGAAGCGGATCGATCGGCTGTAGGCTCGGTTTTGTGTGTGGGGTGTACTACTGTAGCACCGTAATCAGCCCGGTAACAAATGTCGCGGATATTAACGAACGTACAGTTCAAATGTCCTTTTGATCCTGTCACCTGTACAAACCCAGATCGATATAGGGAGGGCCCATATCGATCGCGGGATTGGGGGGCGTGGTGTGGGACTTCGCGCCAGGGGTGACAGGCACGATCTATATCTTTGAATCCTCGTCGTGAAGACACTGGGCGAGGTCGTACACAAAGGGCTACTTTGTTCGCGCGTATGCGACACTTTTTCGTCCGTCGCGTGTGACTCCAGAGGAGTTGTCGCAGGTCGGGTGTACCAGACCCGAACCTGCCCGTCCAAACCTATCACCTGTATATCGGTGTAGCAGCTGCCATCGTAGTTTTGCCGTCCCGGGCACCAATCGCTGCCGAGCCTGGGCTCAAAATGAAGATCAGTGCGGGTCGGCCGAACCTTGGCCGAACCGGTTCAGGTGACGCGTCCTTGGACACTCGCAGGGCATTCAGTGGTATTATGAAGCTTTCTAGTTTGTACATCCCCGGTCCCATAGCAGTGTCTTTCTTATCATTTCAGAATGAATCGCACAGTGAGAGTTGGGAAGGGAACAGCAGGGCGTCAGTGACGCCCACTGCGACGAGAGCAACAAATAGTAGCTCGATAGCGG